TGGCTGCTTGCCTCCAGCACCATGCTAATGATTCATATGCTAATGAGGGTGGGGGGGTAGCAGGACAGAGTGTAGCAAATGCCAGGGGATCAAAATGTATAGGGGGAATTACATTTGCTTCAGCAGCCAATAGCTCTGAGTGATGCTCATTAGCATATGAATCATTAGCATGGTGCTGGAGGCAAGCAGCCATGATGCACAAAGCCATGTTTACAGAGAGCACAAGGTTTCTCATCTTGTTTGCTGTCATGGCCAAACATACAGCCTCTATCTGGTTCCCATGCCCATGTCTGTTCAACAACAACAACACATCAGGCAATCGGTGTATACATTCAGTTCAAGGTCATGAAAAGAAAACCCGACTGCCCACACAACAGCAGTTCTTCTTCAATCGCTTAGAGTTGTTCAGAAACATGGTGAGCTGTAAACTGTAAAGGACCATGTGTTTTCATGAGAGCCATTTGGCCTCAGTCAAGAGGCTGGGTATTGAACCTCAATATTGTCTTAGTACCAACTGTAACGTGTCTGTAGCACTGAGCTTCAACACCTTTACAATACTGAAAGCTGACAGTGAACATTTAACTATATTTTTGATCAAACAAGTCTCGATTTAAAAGAAAAATTCTTCTTTTTTATGTTTAGTTTTAAGACATCATTATGAGTTTGGATTCTTTTGTTGAATGAAAATTACGTTTTGGAGAACAACACGTTTACAGTAGGATGGAATTATTTTCACTATCATTTAATCAATGATTATTTAATTCATCATTTTCAATTCATCAGTGGAAACTAGGTTGAAGTATTTTATTTTGAAAGAGTTCGTTAATAATAACTCGGCAGTGATTGATTTAACTTAATGCTACTTTTTGCCTTTCACAAGAAGAATTCAGCCAATACAGAAAACAATAAACATTACATGATCAACTGTACCAAGGTCAGATGTAAAGGATTTCCCTCCTCTTCATTCAGTGCAGCTGTGTTGTATGAAGTGTTTCTGTCCCTGTCCAAAGTGTTGTGATTCACAGAGGGCCTCAGCTCAGTTGAAATAACTTTCTCCAAATCATTTGAAATAAATGCTAACATTGAAATGTGACTAATAAGCACTGTAACTTACCAGTTTACGTTGACACCAGGTGCAGACGCCACACAGAGCTACCAGCCAAACGGCACATACTACGGACGCAACAGACACCAGGAATACACTGAGAGACACTGAGCCTGAGGGAGAGAGACAAAGACACATAGAGAGGAGGCTATTAGTGCATTTAATATCACAATTACACCTGAGCTTTTAAGTTTTAGTCCACTGTCAATACCTCACAAAAGTCTATGTTGGAGTTAGAGTACGTATCGTGACAAAACGCCCCTTCTAGGGAACATGTAGGTATAATAAGGAGCAATGCCATGTAATGTGCCTTCCTTCCTTCCCCCATTCGTCCTTGTCATCTAGCATCTGTCATCAGTAAGACACAAAGAGAAATGCAACATGAGTGCGAGGGAAATGACATAGAGCCACTGAAACGGCTTCATGCTCATGTTGCTTCATGTATCAATAGGAGATCCGCACATGTCAGGGAGAGATAATATCATGGTGCCAGAAGCCACGCAATTACCAGCTTCCGTTTTCTCTCTTCTATCTCGTAAACCCTTCAACAACTTTGTTCCCGTCTTGCTCCCGACAGATGAAAACTTCTTCCACCGCCGTCTATTCCTCATCTCTCCCTCTTTGAATTACTGCTTCTCAAAGATGCCGCTCATTCAGACGTCTGACAACTTATCTGCCAAGCGATTCAAAATGCAATGGCACGTTGGCAAAACAATGTCTGCAAACAATGAGCTCATAACTGCGCTACATCCTCTTTCTCGGCAACACAGGAGATTTCAGTTCATCTCTATCTGAAAAATTCATCTGACGGTTCTTTCTTCCCTTTATCCCTCCATTTCACTTTTCATCCCTGCCCGAGCATGTTCTACATTTAAACTTTTTTTTTCGGGCCAACAAACAGAGGAAGTGGATTAGCTAAGCCGATTTAATCATCCCTATCCATCCTCTGCCTTCACATTTTATTAACTTCCTCTGTTCGTCTCCTTCGGGTGTATTATGCATCTTCTAAAGAAAGTTCTGTACACTGTTATTCTCTGGTCACATTGCTTTTCCTCCATGTTTTCAGTGGCACAAAAGATCGATACATATATCAAAAAGCTCACAAACATTTCTGACAGACCTTTTATTAAATGGCACGATTGTTTTGGGTTAAAACAGTGTACCTACTAAAGGCACATAATGCCAATACTAAAACAGAAAACTCTGTGCTAACTGCTTTTTTTGTAGAATAGAAAGGAAAACCTAAAACCAAGGTTACTTGAAGAAAAGATTCAAATTCACTGCTTGAGGCACATGGCATTGAATAAATATAATTTATCAGAGAGGTTTAGAAAGGAAATTCATGTTGTTCACAAAATAACTAACTGCAAGGCTGGTTGGTACAACATTACACTGAATCTATCCTTGTATGTCTCCAACAGGCTCATCCAGCTTACATTTATGCAGAGGTTTGTATCCGAGCATTTAGCGATTTGAATGCCTCCAATTTTTAAAGTGTCAGCTCCTTTTTACCCACCAGCCTTACCTAAATTAAATTATATTCGCCTGTTTGATAAGGTATCTGATTTTTTTTCTGAAATATTAAACATGGCAGAATATGCTGGCAATTAAGATCACAGGGTTGAATTAGTTCTTGCTCTGAGCCTTCCAGTCAGGCAGCAGAGAATGTGTTGTGGTAACATCGCTTTCAAAAGTGTTTCAGTTCTTAACAGATAAGTGGTCTCAATCTTGACAAACCAGCGTTTCCTTGCAAATGTAGAGGAACACATAGAGAGAAAACCCAAAGCTACATCTGTCGAAACAGCAAAAGAAGCTGAAATACTCTCCAGCTGGAGGGAACACAAGCATAGGAAAGAAAAGTGAGACCTCCGTGTTTTTCACTTGGTGGGGTTTTATCAGCAAGTGCAGTTCATGATTTCAGGCACTAACCCACTAGAAAAGGGATTTCTCTTCCCAAGGTAATACATAATAACATACATGAAATACCAAAGTTTACCAGGCAAATTATGATTGACAATGATAAAATCAAAGGGTTTTGTTACTTTTGTATATTTGCATTCTGTAGCTGCTTCTCTATGCAATAGTTTGCATTGTTGCTGCTGGTGGAACGCACCTTTCCTGCACAGGATTCAAATAACGTGCCCAAGTTTAAAGGACTCAAAAGATGGAGGCACTAATGAGATCTGCGAGATAAAAGCCAGTGCATGCATGCAGTTTAACTTTGTGTTGGTGCACTTTAAACAATACACTTTTGTTGCATACCTGACAGGAAAGGTTTGCTTGGTGCCCCGAATGCTGGATACATAGGCCATTTCAAAAGGAACTCTGGGGCCTGCATTATTTAAATCCTAAAGATTACAACTTTAAAATAAAAAGCTCAAGTAGCAATTATTCTGGTGACGATCAGCATGCACAAACTTGTTTGCGAGTTGAGGCAGTTTCTTCTTTGCAAAAGTATTCAATAGGACCAAAGTTCAGCACCATGGACAGCGTCCATCCCCACTGTCCTTCAGACCCGCAGGCTAAAGTAAGATCTGTACACCTGGTGGGCAAACTGGGCAGAGCTGGTACAAGTGGAGCTCAGGAGAAAGTTTGTTGCCCAGTTTCATCATTCAGGTTTTATTGTACATATTTAAAACAAATATCAAGTCAACTGCAATATCTGGTTCCTGAATTCGTATCACCCGAGAAAGCCCTCTTTGAATCTTGACACGAAGATGATTGCGTGTATGTTTTCAGGGGCATGTTTCCTGCCACAAAGAGAGGCCAACAACCCTCCATATGGGGGTATTCTCACTACACTCAGTACATGTTTGCAGATTCCTGTGCACATTCACAAATCACACAAACAGATTGAGGTACATTTTCACAGCTCTCCACACACATTTGCAAAAAATATTGCAACTGCAACACCCCCATACCGAACAGAGAGAGAAACCTTCTTTAGAATCTCATCCGTTGTCTTACCTTGTGGTTCAGCTCTCACTTTACTATGATGGTCGGATACAACACTCGTATTATCTCAGCTGCTGCGCCCCAGTGGCAATCTGTATGATCTCTTTTACCCTCACTTGAGAACACCATCTTTGCCAAGGAGTGAGTGAGTACACTCTAAAATCCACTACCCACTGTGACCTCTCTCACAAAATGACCTGCTGAGCATCTGTTGCAGTAACTGGCCCCATTAAAATGTACTAATCATCGCTGACCAACAATCTGAGCTTCTAAAGTACTTTTAGGTTCATTAGAAAAACTTATATTTGCTGTTCCTGTTTGTTTTTTGTTGGGCTGTTGTTTCCCATGTGTCTAACTGATAAAGTGTATCATCGAAAAGCCATTACTGTATTTCCAGTGAACAGTGAATAAAATATGCTACAAATGTATGAACAAATTCACAGAGATGGATGGTCCACTTCAAAAGGAAACAGCAAATGGACGCGTTAACGTTAACAATTCATGACAGGGTGAGGAGCTCAGTGAATCAAAAGGACCTCTTTGTTGAGCAACTGCTCCTCCACTTTGAGGAGAGCCAGCTGTGGTTGTTCAGCCACCTGGGAAGAATACCTTTCTTGGAGTAGTAGTGGCCTCAACTGACTGCAGGGAGGCCAGAGGACAGGACATGATTTTAACATCTCCCATCTAAATGCATGACGCTGCTCCTCAGCCAACCCAGTTCATTTGGAGCTAAATATGATGTAATGTAGATTAAGCAGCTGAGTAGCCTCATCAATGTTGCTTCAGTCCAGCTGCTGTGGCTTTTGATTTGAGCCTTTGGTTTCCAGCTCTGATGACAATGTTTGTGTATCTTTACTTTTTTGACCAGAGATTGCCTCTGATTTCACATATAATTTATTGTGTTTAGTATAATCTCTTACAGTAGATACACACAAGGCATTGTTTTACACGTCAACCCCAACTCACGGTCCATTTACTAGCTTTTTCCAGAACTGCCAACCACACATTGGCTGTTTTAGTATGGTTTAGCAAACTCCGTCTGCTGATGTAAACTATGTGAGATGGTTTAAAGCTCAAAATAAAGCGAGTCAAAAATGAATTTTTATGCTATTTTAAAATAATCTAATCTCTAAATGGGCAATGTGCAATATCTGGCCAGAATTTTAGATGTTTGTATTTATGAAAGCTAAAGTCCCAGTGTAAGAGTAAGGGATTCAAGTAAGGGATTCAAACAAGTAAGTTCCTAATTAGGTTGGATGAAAATGATTCAGTAAGGCAATTCAAATCAAGTTAATTTAGTTTAAGAAAAAAAGAAAAAATGGTTAACTGAGATTAAGATTCATTTAAAGCAGGGCATGAACAAGGTATGATGTAAATAATCGAATATGTTGTTAAAATAAACAGTTATAAACAGTATTGAGCAGTGAGGTAAACTAAATAAAAATTAAAAAAAGATTGTGCCTTTAGTTTCAGCTAAATTGTTTGATTGGTTGCTATAGGTATCACTCAGGAAATGCTGTCTTGGTAACAGCGGTAACAATTACTGGGTCAACCGGAGGGGTCATGGAGATAACTATAGTTATGGACCATAATCATATATTCAGATGTTGGATCAAAGGACCCGCAAACAACAGCGTCTACAGTCGCTATATGTCTAGTTACCAACATCTGATTGTTTGAATGTTATACTGTTGAATCTTTTTCCATACTTAGTTGCAATAATTTATTCAGGATGTGTTTTTTTTTAATCTTGCTTATTAACTCAAGAATGGTTCGGCAAAGGGAAAAGATCCCGTTCATGTGGGTCCCAGCACATTGTTGTAATTATCAAAGTCAGAGGGAAAAGGCACAGTATGTGGGAAAAGGTAAATCAACAGTGGCAGAAGCATTGGGATAATGCAATAAAAGAGAGACATTTACACTCAATCCAAAACAGAGTTAAAAAGAAGGGGAACAAAACAGAATTAGACCCAGCCACCATAACGGTACACCTTTCATCAAAGGAAAACCAAAAGTCTTTGATCTTTGTCATGAGGCTTAGACAGTTGAGTATATCATGCAGGTCACTTACACAGGAAAGACATAAACGATGACACAATTACGGAAAATAGGGCTGGTAGGACAATATCAAACGTAGGCAATGTTAGAGCATAAAAAG